GCCCAGGCAGAGAGGGGGAGCTGAGGCCCTCAGAGCCCCAAGGTCAGGCAGCGGTAGCTGGGGCATGCAGGCTGGGCCGATTGCCTGGCCACCCCTCCTGCTCCTCCTGCCCCTGTGCTCTCCCCAACCCAGCATCGTGGGGTGAGGATCAGCACACAGGAGACACAGGGCACTCGACGCCCCCACTGCCCCACCTCAAGTCGGCAGGGTGGGTGCGGCTGGCCGGGATCGGGTGCGGCACTGGGAGTTCTCCAAGGTGCTAAAATAAACCCAGCAAAGGATCAGGTTTCCCGACGGAAATAACCCAAGAGCCGCCTTAGAAATTCAAACTGAGAAAGCGATCCGGGCGGGCCTCCTGCAGCGGGGAGGCTGTGATGAAAACCGCTTTCCGCAGGGCTCCCGCCCCATCCTGGCAGGAGACCCTGCCCTGTCCCTCCCTTCTGTGCCCTCCAGCGGTGCCTCCCCCAGGGCCGGCTGCCCAGAGTGGAGCACCTCTCCCACTCCCCTCCCCTTCCGTTCTGGGGTCATTGCCCCCAATTAACCGGCCTCTTCTTGGCCATGGGCCTTTGACGGTGAGGTTTGCCATAGATCAGAGCCCAGACCCCAGATCAGACAGCCCTTCATCCGGCAAATGTTTCTAGAGCACCTACTGTGTGCCAGGCACTGCCAGAGCCCCTGGGCTCATAAGCGAACATCAGTCCCTGCCCATTGGCTGACACTCTGCTAGGAAGACACAGGCCACGAACACAGCGAGTAACTGAGCATCAAGTTAGAGAAGATACAGGCCAAAGAAAAGAGCAGAGAGGGTGACAGATGTTGGGGTGATGTTTGAGCCCCAGGGTACCCCACCGGCCCACTCCATTGCCCAGAGAGAATCCTTTTGCCTCTGAGCTTCGGTGTTGGAATCTGTGCAGTGGGGACCTAAAGCCCACCTGTGACGCTGCTGTGACAGTTAAGAGACAGGCACTCAGCTCGCAGCCTGGCACAGAGCAAGAGTTAAGGACTCACGAATGTGCCGTTGGGTCCCTGTGCTCAGGTGTAGCGGGAAGTCCACCCTGTGCGTTTAAGACGACAATGCCCAGTGACCCACGAAGCTGTCAGAAAACCTGCCCTGCTCTCAAGTGAGAGGCAGCGTGCCAAGGGCTTGGGGACCGGAGCCGGCTCCTGCTCGGCCTCCTGCCCGGCGAGTCTCTCCACGCCACCCCGCGCCCTGTCTGGTGGTGGGCTGTGCCGGAACAGGAAGGTGCTGTGGGCCAGGGCCCAGGCGGGGCCCCGGTTCGGCAGGGGCGGGGGGGGGGGGGCGGTCTGCAGGCACAGCGCCACCTCAGTCATCTTTGCACTTGTCACTGGTCCTTGAGTGGGGCTTGGCGCGCACCGAGCCTCAAAGATATTCCAAGAGTGAGTGACAAGTGACCAGCAGGCAGGGCATGGAGAAAGTATGGGACATGTGGCTGGGAAGACAGCCCGCAGGCTCAGAGCTCTGGGGCCGGCCAGCCCACGTCCCAGCTCCAGTCCTCATCCACCAGCTGGGTGGCCGCTGCTCCCTGTCATCTCTAGCGTGGAAAAGGGGGGCTGCACTTGCCCTGTCATCCGGAAGCGCCTGCCGTCCTGCCGTGTCCTCCCAGGTCTGGGCACTGAAGCAGGAGGTGCAGGCTGCCCCCTGGATCCCAGGGGGACCGGCCTGAGCACGCAGCCTTATCGGGCACTGGCCACGTGGCCACGTATGCAGACGTGCCTCTGTGGGCAGGGACGTGTGCGAACGAGGGCAGCGGGCCAGGACCGTTGAGGGTCACAGAGCGCAAATGGTCTGCATGTCCCACAGTGGAAGGCTACTCAGAGACACTGCGGTCCGTCCACGGGACACTGAAAAATGGCAGGTCGTCACGGAAACGTGGCCGGGTTTATATTTGTTAAGTGAAAATGGTAGGTTATTTTTTAAAGGGCATGCAATACAGTCATATTTTTAAATGCACATTTGCGTATATGATATAGATATCGATAGACACAGTTTTTAAAAAAGATTTTATTTATCTACTTTTAGAAAGAGGGGAAGTGAGGAAGAGAGAGAGGGACAGAAACATTTGATGGGTTGCCCGTCTCACACCCCCCCCACCGGGGACCTGGCCTACAACCCAGGTGTGTGCCCTGACCAGGAATTGAACAGGTGACCTTTCGGGTTGCGGGATGACGCCCAACCCACTGAGCCACACCAGTCAGGGCTAGATACAGCTTTTTAATGTATCGTTTCTGGTTATTAAAATAATCCTTGGTGGTTGTGAAATGGTTCAGCAAGGGGAAATCAGACGCGTGAGAAGCCTTTGTCGCCTGACCCCCTCGTGCTCACGGATAGTCTCCAGGCAGTAGGCTTACACTTGTATTATCTGTATCTACTGAATTTATCACAGCAAGCCTGTGACATTTGGATCACAAGAAACCACAAGGCAGTAGGTAAAATTACAGTTTTCTACTCTGGCTGGTTATTCCAGGGGCATGCAGCCTGTCTCCCCCGCTGGACGGCAGGAAGAGCTCAATGAAAGTATCAATCCAATGGATGAACGAGCCCCAGGCCCCTCGAGAAGTGGGGCCGTGCGGCTTGTTGCAGGTGTTCGCACGGGGGTGGCACCTGCTTCTCAGCTGCCTGAGAATGGGAACAGGGTCACCCCGCCTTACAGAGGGAGAGGCGGGTCTCAGTGTAAGCAAGCCACCCTGTCACCTGCCCCCAGGGGACAACAGGGGCCAGGAGGATTAGGAGGACTTGCCTGCCGTCACTGAGCCAGAGGTGGCCGAGCCAGGCGTTGAACCCGGGCCGCCCCCCACTCCAGAGCCCTCAGAGCCGGAGGAGCCCGCGGGCAGCTCTGGCTCAGTCAAGATGCTGACACAAGCCTCGGGGTATTAATAGCCTCCCCTGGGGCCCGGCTCCTCTGCCTGCCTTGAGGTCAGCCCAGGCCACAGGCGCCACCCGGGGGGAGCAGGGGTGAGTGCCTGGTGGGGAGCGGAGCAAGCACATCCAGGCTCCTGTGGTCTGAGGCCTCGTGTCCCACCCCAGGGGCCTCTTGGAAGTTGGACCTCCCCTCTCCTGGGCTTTCTAGATGGGCTTTCCAGCCTTTCAGCCTCAGCATCCTCATCTGTGCAATGGGGCCGATATTACAACTTCATAGGAAGGCTGGTTGTACGGTCCAGGAGCTAAGGCACGTGGCGAGCTCAGACACTGCTCCCAACCCACGTACCCTGAGCACGCATTCATGAGGCAGCACGCGTCGTCCTGCTGCACTCAGGAGGGTGGGCTGTGGCACAGTCGGGGCACCCTCCTCTGTGGCCACGTCTCAACGGAACGCTCCGGAAAAGGAATACCGAGGAGTCTGTAAGGAACTCCAGACTGCAGGTCCCTAGAGGCTGGCTTTGTCCTCGGGGTGGGAGCGGCACCTTGGGGCTGGGCCCTTCCAAAGGGGGCAGTCAGAGGGGACAGAAGCTGCGGCTCGTTGGTTAAACATGGTCAGTTCCCAACCCACAGTGCAGCAGGCTGGTGACACAGCAGGGACTCTGCTCAGCAGTTCAGGAATACCAGCTCGCTGACCCCACCACAGGCCTTGGCAAGTGCATGCTGTCTCTCCCACGTTCCAGGTGGGGCGACTGAGGCTCAGAGGGGCCCAGTGACTTGTTCACAGCCTCGAAGCTCGCTGGCAGCCAGAGCCGCAGGTCACCCCTCATCTGTATGGCTCTGGAGCTCCTGGGCTGGTTCCCTGTGGCCACGGAGCGCCCCCCCCCACAAGGCAGCCTCCTGGCCTTGGGGTGCTCTGCACCTGGTCCCTGGGAGGCTGCGGGGCAGGTGGGCTTCACAAGCAGCCTCCATGGCAGGAGGGGAAGTCACCCGTCCCTGCCTCCATCCCGGCTGAGCTGCCCTGAACGGTGAGACCGCAGCATCCGCTCCTGACCCTTCTGGTCATCCTCAGACAGTGGCTTCCCCTCAGCCCAGGTCTAGTCAGTGCTAGAAGGGCTGCAGAGACTGTGGGTCCCCACAGTCGCCCCGGGGCGGGGGGTGCGGGGAGGCCTGACTCCTCCTCCACCAGGCCACTGGGCCTGCCCTCTCTGGGTTCACAGCCCCTCTTGCCCCCTTCGCTCCCGTGCACCAGCTCCGTGGGCCCCAGAAGCCTGGCCTGGAACAGGCTCTTTCTCGCCCGGGGCCTCCACCTGCCTTCCCCCCGCTGGCCCTCCATGGAGCCAGGCCAGCCCTGGAGCTGGTTCCTCTACTGCCCCACCTGTGCACACTTGCAATCGCGTCCAAGCTGTGAGCTCCCCGGGACGGGGATGGGGTCTTTCCTTTGCTGCCATGTGCCAGGGGCCTGGTAACTACTTCCTGGCTGCCTGGCACTGCTCCAGTGCCCCATCCTCACGAAACAGAGGCTACCTCCAAGGGGCAGAGCCACTGCCAACCCATGGATGTGAACGTCCCCTAATGGAAAGCAATCTTACTGATTGCCATTTCATTGAACTGTGATGCGCTGGAGCCCAATTCAACACTGATTTTTTCTTAAAAGGCCAGCCTGCCAGCTTAATGAAATGCTGCCCCAGAGGGGAGGGGCTGGGCCTGGTCCCAGCAGACCCAAAAGGATGCTTTTAGCGACATCATTCACTCCATCTGGTGCCCAGAGAGGCCTTCAGCCTGGGCTCCTTGGCCCAGTTTGTGGGACCGTGTCCAAGCCGCCCAGGGCCCGTGGCACAGGCAGGCCTGGCTTGCAGGGGCCTAGTCTGCTCAGAGGGAAGCTGGTAAATGCAGGGCTTAGTGTGGAGCCCACTCTTTGGGCCTCTAGCTCGGAGCATGGCTGAGGACTACACTTCCCAGAGTTCCCCAAAGCCTGGGAGTGAGCCATTGGAAGATTTAAATAGCCCAGGCCTGAGGCAACGGCAGCAGCTGTGGCCTCCTCCGCCTCCCCAGTGGCCCCATTGGCGCAGGCCAGCATCGGTGGGCTCGATTGGCTGCCCAGCTGGCACTGACATCCCTCGGAGCCCAGCAGCGGCTGGAGGTAAACAGCCATGTGCGGTCCTGCACTCTATATTTAACAGCTGCCACAGAGAAGGCAGCAAGGCCTGGAGAGGTGGCGGCTCTGGGGGCAGCGCTTGCCTCCGGGAGAAGGCCCTCACAGGGCCGCTGGCACCGGCCCTCACGGTGTCACCGTCACCATGCCAGCCTCGCAGAGCCGGGCCCGTGCCCGGGACCGCAGCAACGTCCTCAACCGGGCCGAGTTCCTGTCCCTGAACCAGCCCCCCAAGGGGGTCACAGAGCCCCGAAGCTCGGGTAGGAAGGCATCCGGCCCCTCAGCACAGCCCCCACCCCCTTGCGACGGGGCCCGGGAGCGGCGCCAGTCCCAGCAGCTGCCCGAGGAGGACTGCATGCAGCTGAACCCCTCTTTCAAGGGCATTGCCTTCAACTCCTTGCTGGCCATCGACATCTGCATGTCCAAGAGGCTGGGGGTATGTGCCGGCCGGGCCGCGTCCTGGGCTGGTGCCCGCTCCATGGTCAAGCTCATTGGCATCACGGGCCACGGCATCCCCTGGATCGGGGGTACCATCCTCTGCCTGGTGAAGAGCAGCACACTGGCTGGCCAGGAGGTGCTCATGAACCTGCTTCTGGGTGAGTGTGCGCACTGTTGCTACCCACCCTGCCAGGACCAGCAGGGCCCTGGGAAACAGACTGGAACAGTCTAATGAGGTTAGGCAGGGAGGGCGCCCCAGAAACGGCCGAGCTTCCGGCCTGGGGAGGAGAGAGCCAAGGATGCACAGATGAGGCCCCTGCAGAGTGGGGCCTGGAGAACGAGGTGCCCCAGGGAGAACCCCGAAGGGAGGGCCCTGCTCTTGACTAGTGCTCCACTGCCCCAGAGGCAGCTTGAGGGGTGGGGGCTGGAGGCTGTAGCCTCAAGGCTGTTGGTTGGGATCTGGCAGGGTCCTGGGGAGGTCCTGGAGTGGGTTGTCTCATTGTGGAACTCCCATTCACAAGTTGGGGTCCTTGGGTTTCTGGACTGTTCATAGGTAGCACTTGTGAGTGGCCCCCTGGTCCCTGCCTGGCTCAGGGACCCTCAAGCTGCCTAGGATGCTGCCACAGGGCCAAGGGGTGCAGGGGCTCAGCCTGGGCTCCCGCACACTCGCAGCCTCCTGAAATCCTTACCTGCGCGCGTCGCTGGAGGAGAGCTGGTGTTTGGTTTGTTCTGATGAAGTCTTTGCCACCGAGCCTTTCCGTTCAGCCTTGCTCTGTGCCAGGTGCCACGTGGGGCTGTGTGGAAGGCAGGCCCCCTCCTCCAGCTGTCACCCCTCAGGCACCCCCAGGTCCCCAACGTGCTCTGTGCTGGGCCCATGTCCATGCCTCGCCCTTTCCAGCGTGGCCACCATTTGGAGCACAGGTGGGCGGGGTCCCAGGGTTGGCAAACACTGATGAGGGGTCCCAGGCCCCCAGGGGGTGAGGGTGGACCACTGAGAACCCTGGTCCCAGAGGAAGTCCCGACACAGATGGGTGCCTCCCTGCTTGGGTTTCAGAGAGTCGAGGTGGATGCATTGTGAGCGGGACTCAGGGAGCTTCGTGCAAGAGGTGGTTGGGTCTGGCACCGTCCACATTTTCTTGCTCTTGTGACTAGATTATTTGCATTGCTTGTTACTAATCCCAAAGAAGCAGTCCCACGTGACTGGCGCTATCTTCATTCCCACTTCACAGATTAGGAAAACTGAGGCTCCTATAAATCAAGCAGCCTGGCCAAGGCCTCAGAGCTGGAGATTTCCAACAGGTCCTCCTGACGTCTAGGTCTGTGAGCATGCGCCTGGAGGGGAGAGACAGAGCCAGGTGGCCAAGGCACCGCCCTGGGAGCTTCTGGGGGGCAGAACCCTGCTCTCATCATCCTCGGCCTCCCCAGGGCCCAAGGCAGCCTCACACGGAGCAGGGTTGGGCATTAGGTGGCCTGGCATCAGGGGACAGGAGTAGAGAACACGCTTGAGTCTGCCCCCTGGACACGTCTGCATGGCCGCACCCTGGATGATGGTGGCCGAGAAAGATCCAGGATGTGCGCAGTGTCGCCGCTGTGGGCCCACGTCCCCATAAACCACACCACCACTCCTGACCCTCACCGCATGCCATGGGGGAGAAGCCATTATTCTTCGCCACTTAAGGAGGAGCAAACAGAGGCACAGGGAGGGGTGGCTGGTCGGGGAAAGGCTGGGATGAGAGCTGGGAGTGGCTGTCACTTGTTAGAGAGGGTTTCTGGCTCGTTCCAGCCACCAGCTGCTGTGGTGCAAAGGTGTTTGCTCGAGGAGCAAGGCTCCAGGTGTCTCTGTTTTTTTAAGACGTTGTTTATTCTTATTTTTAGAAAGAGGGGAAGGAAGGAAGAAAGAAGGAGAGAAGCATCCATGTGTGGTTGCCTCTTGCACACCCCCTACTGGGGACCTGGCCCGCAGCCCAGGCATGTGCCCTGACTGGGAACCGAACCAGTGACCTTTCGGTTCACAGGCTGGCACTCAGTCCTCTGAGCCACACCAGCCAGGACGTTTTGGGTTTTCTAAAACTTCATTTATTGCACTTCATTATGTACCAAATACTGTGCCACGAATGTCCCATATTTCACAATTTAAAATCTTTTTAATGACCTTGTAAGTTAAATGTAAATACACCCACTTTACAGACCAGTTAAATGAGGCTCTGAGCAGTGAAGGGACTTGCGTACTCCACCCAGCGGTAGCTGGCAGGTTGGGGACCCAAGCCCAAGTCCTCCAGACTGCAGACCCCGTACTGTCCCCCTCACCGTTGCCCTGCAGGGTCCTGTGGTCCTCTAGTCTGTGGGGAGGGCCTTTGGGGTCTTACAACTCTGGAGCACAGGCTCCAAGGTTGGACTGGGCTTTATTCAGGCCCCAGCCTGAACCTTACTTGCTCTGTGACCCTGGTCACGTCAGTCCCTGTCTCTGGGCCTCAGCGTCCTGATTGGTACATGGGCTGCAGGCTGCGGTGGGGACTCAGGGGGCAAAGCACCGGGCACAAGGTGGCAATGGCTGTGCCCAGTGGATGGCTGATGCCAGCTTTCTGCAGACCACAGACCCCGAGGGGTGAGGGAGCCCTGCCGGGCCTGCTCACCCACTCTCACACCAGGGCACCCCATGGATTCAGAGGGGCAGTCTCTGGGCTGCAGCGGAGGCCCCTACCTGTACAGCTGGGGCCTGGGCTCTCCTCGGGCCCGGGCGAAACTCAGGAGCCTTGGGAGATTTGGGCTTCAGCCACGGGGCCTGGAAAGGGTCCCAGCTGGACCCGCAGGAGGTTCTCTGCCCTTCCCCCTGTGCTGCCTCCCCCAGGGCACCGCCCACACCGGAAACCTCAAAGCCAGAAAAAGCAGTTGGCAAAAGCTGGGGCTCCAGGGTCAGCGGACCAGGGCGCCAGTCCCCACCCTGCTGTGGGAACTTCGGCAGGTGACTTTTGCTCTCTGAGCCTCGTTTTCCTGCTCTGTTAAGTGGGTTGCTGGGGCACCGGCCTGAAGAATTACAACACGGAGTGCCAGCGCCTACGAACGCCAGCTAACGCCCGTCTAGCAGTTGATCTGGGCCTGTGAGGTGACCCCATCCCTCCTTTGTCCCTCCCCTGCAGCACCTGGCTTGACAATCCCACAGGGAGCCAGGGGACAGGTGACCCAGGCCTGTCCCAGTTTGCCAAGCCCATCCTGGTTTGCTCACGGGCCTGTCCTTGGGGGACAGTGGCCTCTGCGTCAGGTTGTCATGGTCTCCAGAGGTATCTTTACTGAGACCTTCCCGATTAGGAAGACCATACACTCTTCCCATGTCATTCATTGCTCTGTTGTGGTGAAGTGTATATCACATGCAATTCGCCGCATTAACCATTCGTAAGCGTGCAGGTCGGCAGTGTTAATTACGTCCTCATTCGTGTGCCACCCCCACCCCCGTCCAGCTCCAGAACTTTCTCAGCTCCCAGACTGAACCTCTGTCCCTGTGAAACACCGATGCCCCTGCCCCAGGCCCTGGCCCACACCCACTGTCCGTCTCCAGGAACATGGCCGCTCTAGGGGCCGTGGACCCTCGGAATCACACTGTGTCTGCCCTTTTGCGACCAGCTGCTTTCCCTGAGCTTACTGCCCTCCAGGTTCGTACTTCTTACGTGTCAGTATTTCCTTCCTTTTGTGGCTGAATAATATTCCATCCTGTGGCTGGACCACATTTTCTTTATCCACCACCTGTCAGTGGGTGCTTGGGCTGCTTCTGCGGTTTGGTGGCGCGCACCGCTGCTGGGAGCGTGGGTGTGACCGTGTCCTGCTGAGTGCCCGCTTTCGCTTCCCGTGGGCGCAGACCCGGGGCGGACGTGCCCGGTCAGCTCCACGTGTGGCTTGTAGGGAAACCCGGCCTGTTTCCCACAGCGGCTGCACCGTTCCACATCCCCACCGGCCCCGCACATGCTCGCCCACTCCTGCTCTTTTCCGCGGTTTGGATGCCAGCCCCCCCCCGATTCGTGTGCCCTTGGACCATGGTTTCCACGTGCACTTCCTCAGCGAGGCACAGCATAGCACGCCTTTTCATTCAGCATCCTGAGGTCAGGAGAATGCAGACCTCACCTGGACAGATGGCGGGAAGAGCGAGCCCAGGAGTGACCTCCACCGCAGTCCGGGTCATGGGCCTCTGGATTTTCCTCTGGGCAAATACTCACACATACGTCTCTCGAATGACCCCCTGTGCTGTCTGGCCCAGCTTGGCCTCGTTCCCATGGCTCGTGATGGACCTGCTGGGCCCTGTACCTTCTTCCACTTGGAATCAAGGTCTCGGCCCCCCCCCATCCCTTCCTGCTCGAGGGGTTCAGGACCCAGAACTGGCTTCCTCAACCCTGCAGCAATGCCCACACCCTGCCGCAGCTGTCTCTCAGCATCCCCTCGCCCCGGCCCCCCTTTCCACCAGCTGACTCCCCACAATCTGTCCTGTGAGCGTTCCCAGCCCCGCCCACCAGCCCCTGCTCCCCAGCACAGCTCTTAGGTGACAAGCCCTTCGCAAGGCTTCTATACACTGTCCCCGACTGCTGGCTCCGACCTCTGCCGTCAGGAACACTTGTGTGGAAGATGACACTGCCACTCTGTAGAGGCGGCACGGTGGTCCTGCCCTTCCCCAGCCTCGCTCGTCATCATCTCAGTGGGGCTCAGCCAGCAAACCGGTCCGTGTCCCCACGGGGGCCCTCATGCCCGACCCTGCAACCAGCTGCCCTTGTGGCTCAAACAGAAATGTGGGAGGGAGGAGAGCCACCGGCTGGTCCCTGGTCACCAGTGCTCCTGCTCCCAAGACGCCCCCAGCAGTCTGGCACTCGGCCAAGAGAACAAATGGTGCCGTGGGCCTTCTGTGCCCATGATTTGGACACCCTTGTGCCCCACAGTCTTTGGAGCCAGGGCCAGCTTCAGTGTTTGGGTTCCTCAGGTGAGAAAATGGAGACCTGCAAAGGCGTGAACTCTGCTGAGAGTCACTCAGGCCAGGGGACATCAAGACAGACCCTGACACCTCCCCACGCCCCCAGCCAGCCTGCCTGCTCCCTGCGTGCTCCCCTGGGGCCGTCCTTCTGGACCTGGCGCTCGGGTTTCCAAAATAACCCTGCACGTGTGCTAAAACGCACATCACGTCCGACTGGCCGTCCTCACCGTTCTACAGTGTGTGGATCGGCGGCGTCAGGGACATTCCCTCTGTTGCGTGACCAGCGCCTCCATCATCTCCTGAACCCTCTCGTCTTCCCCAGCTGAAACTCTGTCCCCACTCAACACTCAGTCCCCAGCCCCCGCCCCCGCCCCCGCCCCCAGGAGCCGCTAATCTACTTCCCACCTCTATGAATTCCCGTGTCCTAGGTGCCTCTTGTAAGTGGAGTTGTGCAATACCTGTCATTTGTAAAAATAACTTTTTAAAAGGGGTACAAGCGTTGTGTATGTGTGGAAAGAAAGCCATTTAAGTGCAGATTGGGGGAAAGACAGAAAAAGTCACCCCCAGCCTCCACCCCCCCACCCCCGGCCCCCCCGGCGAGCAGCACAGTGGCAGTTCCCGTGGCACCCACCCGAGGGTTTTCTCTGGTTCATTTTACAAAAATGGCGCCCTACTGTAAGTCCTGCTTGGTCATTGGCTTTTTCCACCTGACCACCCCCAGCTCTGCTTCAGTGGCTATAAATACCCGCTTCACCCTTCACGGCGGCCCAGAGTGCTCCATTATCTGGACTGGGCCACAGTTTGTCCCGTCCTCTGCCACTCAAGGGCACTGTGCTGGCGCCCGTCCCTCCCTCCGTGTGACAGGGATTGCTGCAGCGGCATCCTTGACCGTGAGGCCTGGTGCGCAGCCTTAACTGTTTCCCAGAGCGAACCTGCCAATGGAAGGGACAGCCTCCCGAGTCTGAGGCCAGATGCCCTGCAGAAGGTTGACGCATTCAACCTTCCTAGCGAAGGTGTGAGCACTGCCACCTGGTCCCCATCTCCCCGAGAAGTCAGTGGGGGGCTAGAGGCAGGGCCACCCCCAGGAGAGAAGGGCCAAGACCCCTTCTCCCAGCCCCAGCCAGCAAGAGACACAGCTCACAAACCTGCCCCCTCCCCAGCCAGCAAGGAGCCCCACCTTTGCTCCCTCTCCTGGGACAGGGGTCAGGGGACTGGACTTCAGAGCCTGGGGAAGAGTCAAACTTCCTGCATGGGGGGTTCAGGCATCTCAGACCCCAGTTTAGTGAGAGGAGCAGAGGGTGGGCACTGTGAGTTGAGGCCCTGAGAGGGGGAGGAAGGGCCCTGCTTCCCAGGCGCCAGTGATGGAGGGGGAGGGAGGCCTGCCCCACGGGGCCTCAGAGTAGCCTCTGGGATGCTCGTGTTTTATCAGTGAGGGGAGGGAGGCTCCGGGAGAGGGACGTGCCAAGGTCAGGCCATGTGCGAGCAGGCGACCTTGGAGCCAGCTCTGATTCTGGAGCCCAGCTGCAGTGAGCCGAGGCCCAGGAAGGTTAAGTGCCTGGCGTGGTCACCCAGCAGGTCGCAGGCAGTGGGTGCTAGCCACTCTACCGACCTTGGGTCTCCAGCCTCCCCGCAAGCGGACATTTCCGTTGGGGGCCCCTGGCCTCCCTCCCAGCCCATGAGGGAGGGCAGTCGGAGCTCGACTGGCACTGTGAGCGGGACTCATGGAGTCCTGAGTGGTGGCGCCGTGGGCTTCTATTTCTAGGCCCCAGATTATTTGCTGACAGGTCAGAATCACAGCACACCGAGGGCTGGCTGCCTTGGGGGAGGGGGGGGGTGGCCCTGCAGGGTGCGGGGAGGCCGGGCGGGCCATTGGCTCTGCTGGAGACCCAGCCTATGGTCTGGGCGAGTCACCCCTGCTTCTCTTTCCAAACCTCCATACCCATGGCTGCCGAGTGGTGAGGGGGCGGCCCTGTGGGTGCTCCCCATCTGGAAAGGGGCTCCATGTAACTGTTTTTACTTCCTTCCCATCTCTTCCTCGGCTATGTGACACCCTGCCATGGGTCACCAGCCTCAGGCCTGGCCCACCCCTGACATACCCAAGAACTGGGGATACCCCAAAACCGGGGGTCAGGTGGATGACTGAACCAGCACAGGATGGGCTGGGCCAGCTTCACAGCCAGGCTGGCCCCTCGGTTCCCCCAGGGGCATGGGACAGAGGGGCAGAGACCTGGGTGGAGAGAGCCTGCCACTCAGGGAGGGAACGGCCTCCCTGGGCTGGCGAGCGCTGGCAGGCTCCTCTCGGCCTGGCCTCCCACCTCGGCTGCTCCGGCTACTCCCTTAGGCCCAGAGTCCCAGGGGTCAGAGGCAGCCGCCTCCGTCCAGCTCCCAGCTGCCCTGCTGGTCGCTCTCTCTTGCTGGAACGTGACCTCCCGCAGGCTCATGGGGCTCCCCTGGGTCAGTGGCATGCAGGCTGGCTGGCCACCGGCCACACACTGCCCAGGCTCCCACCTCCCCAGAGGCCTGGGCTCCTGGGAGCAAGTTGCCATGGAAACTGGTGGCAGGCATGTATAGAACAGGTTCCCACCCTTCCTTAGACTTCTCCTCTCTGGGCCGGCAGCCTCTCCTTGCCCTGAGAAGGGCCAGCCCGGGGAAGAGCAGGGGTTCGAATCCCAAACAAGAGCCCCGCAGCAGGCAGGAACAAGGAAGGCTGACCAGCCCTGTGCTGACCAGGCAGCGCTGTCTTCCTCTGGGTGGTCTGGCCATTCGGCGCTGTGGCCGCTGTAGAAATGAGTCACGGTGCCTCCGACATGACCGCTGTGGGGTTTCGGTGGCGTGTGACATGGCAACTTTTAAATGCAGGTCACCACAGGGTGTGTATGAAGAGCGAGTCACAGCTTTTACTGACCCTACACTTTGCAGGGGGCCAGAAGGGTCTGGGGCAGGGCCGCCTCTGGGTGGCTGGGTTCCAGGTGACGGCAAACCTTTTGTGAATTTTCTGCCGTGCACATCTACTGGGTCATTATTTTCAGCAGTTGAGCAGGAGTGGCCACGGGCCAGCTGTGCTGGTGCCCACCACACAGGTTCCAGGAACGGCCCAGCCCAAGCCACAGCGCAGTCATCTGGTGCCCACCCTTCTCGGCCACCCCTGGGTGCCAGGCACGTGCGGGGACCAGGCCCCTTTATAGGAAGCGACCAGAACAGGCAAAGCTATGGGGACAGAAAGCAGATCGGGGTTTGCAGGGGCTGGGGGAGGGGGAGGAGAGACTGTTTAAGGTGTACAGGGTTTCACTTTGCGGCAATGTTTTGGAACCAGACGGAGGTGGTGGCCGCACCCCGTGGAGAAGGTGCTAAACGCCACTGAAGCGCACGCCTAAAAGTGGTTCGTTGTACATTTCGTGGCTTTCATCTCCGTTTTAGACAACTGCGGACGGTAATGCGCAGTTCTCAGGATTGGCGGGGGCTTCGGTGAGGCCCTTTGAGAAACAAATCCGCAGCCCAGGGTCCCATTTGTGAGAACTCAGGTCGTCCGCGGTGCCCTCGGGGGCTGTGCTGCCCGGTCACTCACTGTCCCCTTCAGCTGCTTCACTGAACCCCTCCCAGCCACAAGCAGATGGATCCTGCCCCTCCGTCGGACGGGGAGAAATGCGGTAACAAACAATAAAGCAGGGACCAGGAGAGAGGGCGGTGGGCCTCTTGTGAACAGGCGGTCAGGGAAGGCATCTCTGCCGGAAGAAGTGAGGGCCCGCGCTGTGTGGCCATCCCAGGGAAGGGCGTTCCGGGAGGAGGGAACGGCACAGGCAGAGGCCCAGAGGCAGGAGCGCAGAAGGCAGGGCAGGAGGAGAGAGGGAGGAAGGCAGCACTGACCGCCCCTCGGGGCCCCTCTGTCCCACCCACAGCCCTGCTCCTGGACATCATGACGGTGGCCGGCGTGCAGAAGCTCATCAAGCGGCGTGGCCCCTTCGAGACGAGCCCCAGCCTCCTGGACTACCTCACCATGGACGTCTACGCCTTCCCTGCCGGGCACGCCAGCCGCGCGGCCATGGTGTCCAAGTTCTTCCTCAGCCACCTGGTGCTGGCGGTGCCCCTGCGCATCCTGCTGGTGCTCTGGGCCTTCTGCGTGGGGCTGTCACGTGTGATGATCGGGCGCCACCACATCACAGACGTCATCTCCGGCTTCGTCATCGGCTACCTCCAGTTCCGCCTGGTGGAGCTGGTCTGGATGTCCTCCAACACCTGCCAGATGCTCATCTCCGCCTGGTGAGCCTGTGCCCGAGGCTTGTGGCGGCCAGGAAGAGCCGGCAGGAAGCGGCAAGGCCAGCATGGGCAGGCGGACTGCGCAGCCCCGCCTCCTCTTCCCCCTCCTGGCCGGACGCTGGCGACCTCAGGCGGGCCCGGCTGGTGACCGGTGGTATGTCTGGTAGCACTGGGGCCCCTGCTCCCCAGGCAGCCCGAGCCCTGCGTGGGGACTGCCCTGCTTCACTTCTGCACCGGAGGAAGCAGGTGAGAACCCGGCCAGCGGAGTCTCGGTCTTGCATCATCATGCGGCTGTCGAGCTCTTGGCCGCACTCACCGGGCCACAGTACAACAAGCTGTCCTTGGCCATCCACAGGGCCACAGATAGCTCAGGGCAGCCCTTTCACAGGGTGCCCCCCTGGACAGTGGCCTGGGGAAGAAAAGGGTTTCATGGTCAACTAAATTTGGGGGCAGCCGCACCCCCTGCCCCGTGTCGGCCACGCGCGAGGGCTGTTGCCGTCACGCAGGCTCTGCCAGGTCCTGCAGAGCAGCCTCCTGTCGCCCGTGTTTCCTCGGCTTATCGACCACGGGGCCCTTTTCTCCGGGGACAGCTGCCAACCCCTGAGGGGCCGCTGTCGCCTCCAGCCCATCTGGGGAGATGCTGCCCAGCAGCCGAGGGGCCTGAGGTGTGAGCTGGCCTCTCCCAGCGCTGAGCAGGGCCACAGCGGGTAGAAAGCCCACGCCCGTGGGCGTCGGTGCCACTTTGGCCCCCAGGGGCCGGACTCCGTGTGACCTAATAGGTCGTTTCCAAGTCAGCCGTTATGGAGGTGCGTTTCATGTGACAATACAGATGACATGCAAGCGGACTTTCTCCTGTGTGGTTTTCCTTTGCGGGATGTGAGCTTCCAGGCTGGAGAGTATCCGTCAGCCAGGTAGTCAGAGGACAAGGGGCTCCTGCGCTTCCCCAGGGTGGTCGGTCCCTTCTCCCCGAGGTCCCTGTGTGGGACACCCCCGCCCCCAGGTGCTCTGGCCCCTCTGGCCAGCTCCCACCATGACGCTGCTGGACTTCTCCCTGGGGTCCACGACCTCTCACTCCAGCCTCCCTACTCTGCACCGCTCCCCACCCAGGTGGTCCCCGCCCCGGGGTGGGGTAGGGGTGGCAATGAGAGAGATGCTGGGATCTTTCCCAGAGACCGGATGCCAGGGCCAGAGGGGTCCTGGGGAGGGGAGAGGCAGGAGGCTGGCGGAGTGGGCCAGGAAGAAGGGGAACAGGGTTCTGGGCACAGGGGCGGCCGCCAGGAGGCAAAGGGGGCAGGGCCTGCTGCAGATAAGCAGGACAGTCCCAGCCGCTGCACCCCAAGTTTAGAGCGAGTGGTCCACGCGCCCACAGCATCCGAGAGAAAACTGAAACCCCGAGAGAAAAGAGGTGACTTGCCAGGGTTGCCCTGCAGGAGACAGCACAGCAGGATGGGGGCCAGTCTGCCCCTGTGGCCTCTGCATATACGCGCCCCCCCCTCCCCCCCCCTCCAGCTTCCCTCGCAGGCCTCTGCATGGTCGTCTGCAGAGGTGGGGGGCAGGAGGAGGATTTGTGCTGCATGTTGGTGCTGACACACAGGGCTTGGTTGCCCTGGAGGCCAGAACGAGGAACCACGGCCGGCGGCTTTAAGCAACAGGAATGTCTCCTCTCACAGACTGGTGTTTGCAGCCGGGAATCCAGGCGTCAGCAGGGCGCTGCTGCCTGGCACCTGGGTTGGTCCTTCCCTGACTCTCCCAGCTTTTGCTCGTGTGACGGCCCTGGGCGTGTCCTGGTGGTGGCTGCGTCACAGGTATCACAGGGCCTTCTTCCTAGGTCTGGGTCTGTCTCCCCTTCTTCTGAGGACAGTGACTATGTTGGACTAGAGTCCTCCCCGTCTAGGCTGCCCTCACCGGAACTTACATCTGAATCACATCCTTGAAGACCCTCTTTTTAAAAATATGTATATATATATATTTTTTAAGATTTTATTTATTTATCTTTAGAGGGGAAGGGAAGGAAAGAGGGAGTGAATCATCAATGTGTGGTTGCCTCTCATGCATCCCTCGCTGGGAACTGGCCTGCAACCCAGGCCTGGGCCCTGACTGGGAATCGAACCATGATCCTTGGTTCGCTCACAGGCCCGTGCTCAATCCACTGAGCCACACCAGCCGGGGCTGCGGAAGCCCCTCTTTCCAACGAGGGTCACACTCACAGGTGTCGGGAGTTCTGCCTGCAACCCATCTTTCTGGGGACACGTGTCCACCCTTGACACACAGGATCCTTCAGAGGGGAAAACAGCTTCCCCGGGGGGGACCGGGCAGGACACACTTGTCCCCGGAGCCTGGCTGCCGACGACGGAGGGTGGTCAGGGGAGGCACCCAGGCCTGCCCACCTTCCCCTGCTGCTGCAGAGACCCCACACACCCCCGGTCACAGTGTCCCCAGGGCCGGTGCCTCGCAGACAGGACCCAAGCCCCCTGCCCCAGGACCCCCTCCCAAGGACCCCTGTTTCTCTCTGAGCCCCCAGGGTGCCAGCCCAGCGGCTGTGCAGGGGGTGCCCCCCTTGGCTTCGCCCTGAGGGAGCTCACACTGCCCAGATTGAAGCCCCAGCTCCTAATCTCCAGCGCCGGCTGGTTCTGGAGCCTTTGAAACACTCTGTGCTTCCCACGAGCCTCCTGAGACGCTGAGTAGACGGGGGAGGGTGTCTGCCTTCTCTCCTCGTCCCCAGCGGATCCTGCCCCAGCATCGGGGGCCGGATCGCAGAAGGATTATGAAACCAATAACGAGCTGCGCGGGCCACCCCCTCCCCGCCCCACCCCAGAGAAGACCCCTGGCCTCCCCTAAGCACTCCTGGAGGGGGCGGGATGCGGAGGGTCTCGGGAGGACTGGTGTCGGCTGGGAGCGGAGGCTGGAGGTGGGCACCCGCCCGCGTCGCGGTGGCCCAGTGCTGGCTTCCCAGCCTCTCTCCCAACCGTGAGGGTCAGATGGGGGGTCCTCTCCCCAGGGGAGGACCTTGTGTTTCCTGGGCCACCTCCCTGATGGTCTTTCCCATCCCCCCACCCCCCGGGAGGGAGGAGAGAGGAGGAAGAAAGGACTGAGGCTGAATCCTACCCAGAACCTTAGGCCTCACTCGTGGTCTCAGCCTGCCTATCTCAAGGTCAAAGTGTGTCTTCAGCACAGCCCCAGGGCCAAGCGCCCAAACCTGCCAAGGCCTGAGGTCTGGGAGGGAAGAGAGGCCGGAAGCGAAGCCCAGCGGGTGTCGTGGGGCTGTGAGCCAGGCCTCCGGGTGGGCAGCTGCAGCCTTGAAACTCCGCCCACCGGATAACGGGGTCTTGTAGACCTTGCTGAGCGGCAGGTAAATTGGAGGCGACAGTGACAGTCTCCACTGCCCACAGTGGGGAGGAGCTGAGGACGAGGGGTGCACTGCGGTAAACGTAACAACGCCCCCCCCCGAAGATGCCCACACACTGAGCCCCGGGCCCCGTGATCCGACTGATGGCATTGGGGAATCGCAGATGAGGCCACAGGTGCTCATCAGCTGACCGTGAAATAGGGGGCCGAGCCTGGGAGATCCAGGTGGGCCCAATGCAATCACTTAAAAGTGGGAGGGGGCGGAGGAAGAGAGCGCGGAGGGATGCGGCGTGAGAGCTCCGCCCGCGCCACGCGGCAGTGGAGGCGAAGGAAGAGGCCGCAAGCTGAGGAATGAAGGCACCACACCGCCCCCCCCAACCCCCCCCCGTTGCCACTGCTGTGCAAGGCCAGAGCCACTTCTCCCCTGGAGACTCCAAAAGAACCTGTGCTGCGGAACCTTGATCCTCGCCCAGTGAGACCGCTGTGGACTCCGGGGCCCAGACGGCAGGTAAGATGGTGAACTGGTGTTGTTTAAGCCACTACATGTGTGGCGATGACCAGACACTGACTACCTCGGGGGCCTCCTACCGCCTCGCCCCGCCCCACCCGCTGCTGTGGCCAGGAAACTCACGGCCCCTCCTCCAGAATGAACCCCAGCTGTCCAACCCGAGGGCTCTAAAACCATGCCACGGAGCAGGCCCTTTGCACTAACGGGGACACGAGCCCAGAGAGGGTGTCAGGGTCACACCAAGCATCCCAGGCACTATAGAGTCTTCCCCGACAGGCTCCCTGGCTCAGGTCCTGGCTGGGCAAAGGACAGAGCAGCAGGGGGCAGGGATGGACCCCTCCCTGCGCCCAGAGCCTTTTTTCAAGGGGGGAGGAGGGCTAGTGAGGTCCCCCCACCTGGATCTTCACAGTGTCTCCGTCGCCTTTAGTAAAGTCCTCGTTAGTCCCAACGAAGAACAGGAAGCCGGGGCTCCGGTGATGGCGGGCTGGGCGTGGGAGAAGTGCTCCCCCAGAACACATCAGTGTGAGCATCACGGGTAAATTGAGCATCCCTCCCCAAACTCACCTGTTGAAGCCTCACCCGCATGACCGTGAAATGTGATGGCATTTGCAACTCGGCCTTTAAAGAGGTGATTAAGTGAAAACCAGGTCATTGGGGTGGGCCCCGGCCCAGCAGGACAGGTGTCCTCCCAAGGAGAGGAAACTGGACACAGATGTGCACAGAGGGAGGGTCGTGGGCAGATGCAGGGAGAAGTCCGTCTGCAGGCCCAGGACTCCTGGCGTCAGGACGGGGAGAGATGGGCTTCCGCTGTTTCAGCCTCGGGTGCTTTGTTCTGGCAGCCCTGGGAACAGTGGGTCTGTCAGGTCGGCTGGCTGTCACCTGTCACACGGGAAGATCAAGGCTTAGAGAAGATTGGGACACACACCCGGTGACTTTGGGGGCCCATCTGGGGCAGCATGCTACTGCGCTGGCCAAGCTGCTTCCGGGCAGTGTGGGGAGAGCACTGTGCCAGGAGCCCGGGAGGCACCATCTCCACAGACCCTGTCTCGGGGCCTGAGCTCTGGCTGGGGAAGCCATGCCCCAGCCCAGGCAGTGTGTTCTGCACAGTCTTCCAGTCCCAGCCTCCTCCCTGCCTGTGGAGATTTCCAGAAGGGGCAGGAAAGGGGACAGCAGGAGCTAAAAAGTGCAAGAACTGCCAGATGGGCTGCCATCTGGCTCCAGGGAAGGAGCAAACATCTGGCCCTCAGGCTGGCTGAGCATTTATGTAACACACATGTGAGCACACGTGGTCGGTGCCCTGCTGCGCTCCAGCTGCCTCTCCCCTAGTGGGGAAGGGTCGAGACGGTGCTGGGCCACGGTGCCCGTGCAAGGTCAGAGCCCCCGCACACACATGCATGTGCACACACCCAGCCTCGGTTTCCCCACAAGTGATGTGCCCACAGGAGAGCTCCACTTCCTCCCAGCACTAAGATCCTGTACTGTGCATGTAACACACGCACACACAGACGCTTTACATGCTTTGGTACAAATACATGTAGATGCACACATGTTCACGTGCACACTCGGGCACCTTTATCCACACACATACACATACAGTGGTACCCAGATGGTGCTCACACCCACAGTGACACCATTCCACTCGCATCCAGTGCACATGCACCCAAGTGTATGTGCACACACATGTATGCACACATACATGTGTGTGCTCTTCTTGCACAAGCACAAACACTCACGCACTTGCATGCACATGGTCGCATACATCAGGCTTGCCAGACTGAGCCAGTAACAACACAGAACCCAATATTTGGGGCAGACACTAAAAACTGTTCATTCCCCTGGAGTGAGAATGTAGGAGTGCCCTGGGTTTTAGCTGGCAGCCCTAATGTGCGTGCCTGTCACTGCGCTCACACACACTCACGAAGTCCTCGGGGTCCTGGCCCAGCCTGGACATGCAGCCGCCCGGGAGACTTACCAAGACCTCCCCTTCATCTG